TCACTTTGATAAAACAAACTTGAGCTTGATCTTTGCGAACTTATTTTTTACGGAGATGATCTAATTTCAGTTGATGTACTGATGTGTACGTGTGGGATGTTAACCTTTCGGAATTCCGATACCGCGAATCCTATAACCACTGCTGATCTACCTGATCGGAAATGTGTACTAAAGTTTCCGATATGACGTCCGCACAATCGAACGTTTGACCTTCTGAAATTTGGAGATGCTCCCTCAGTTAGGCATTGATGCTTACTACCAGAAACTGCCTCATTAGCATTTATCACTCAAACCCATGGCAAACATGCAAGAACCATGTCTCTGTCTCTTTACAGGAATTGGTGTTACGAGAATTGTTGTCTCTACAACTGCATTGTGTATGGGTGTCAACATTCCTGATGTCTGTTACATAATCATATGGGAAGCAGCACGTGGCATTCTAGACCTATATCAGGAAGCTGGCAGGGATAGCCTACAGTCCCATTTAATCGTTATCTATCATGGACAGCTGATACGTTCAGTGCACAAGAGGTGAAAAACTTTGTTAATTCTAAGGAATGTCTGACAGTGGCAGCATATCAGTCATTAGACCCGGAGATCAAGCTATTAAATTCCGTGTATAACTGTTGCAGCTATTGCAACAGTACTAAGTGTGGAAGAATCTCTTGTAAAGCCTCTGAAAATGTTCTGCCTTTTGAGGGTGATGGAGGTAAATAAAACATCCCAGAAACAACTGGAGGGCAGACATGCAAAGTAACTACATGAGATTGCAAATATCTCAAATCTGCTTTGGAGGAAGTGTTTCAAGAAATTAAGGTTTAAAGTTTAGAATTTAACGTTATAAAAGGTGTAAATTTGGAAAAACAAAAATAGGAAATTGAAAACGTGCGGATTTATGTACGCACCTTTTTTATTTTTCAGAACTCAAAGCATGAGGAAACTACTCTTTTCAAGGGGAAAGTGGCTGTAATCACTGTTAAAAGGAAGCAATTCAAGTGGGGCTGGAAAGTTCGCTATAAACCCTGTCCATCAGGTGGTGAACTCCCTGCACTCATCTCTCACAGGTGAGAGTCCATTCTTGTCTCAGGAGGCTCAACCTAAGCAAGTCTTCACCTCCACTAGTTCACACATAGATGCCTGGGTCCTGGCTAAACTAAAGACAAACATTTGGGATGAGACCTACATTGATTTTGGGTCCCTACTAACTAACCCTGCCAGAGAGGGTCGATATCAGCTTTCCATTGATAACTCTGGCGAAGGCTCTTCCCCTCATTGGCTATTGAGCCGGTAAATCCCCCAAAGAAAATTGTGTCCATAGACACTTGGGTACAGGTTTTCCATGTGTTTGTGGGGGTGTATACGAGCCGTTACGACAGTGAAACACAGGCCTTTTGAAATATGGGACCACCATTCAAGATCTTGCTGCCAGGGGTCACAACTGGTGTTACTATGACAAACATTTTGTGGAGTGTCACTGAGGGTTCGCTGTTATATTTTTATCGATAAGAATGAGGCTTCTTGTGCAGCAGCACCCCATGAGCAATGTGTGATTCCAGAAAATGTCCACACCCCTCCCACGGATGGTTCTTCTGATTAGACCCCCCCACCCCCTCGGAATTTCTGTTCCAGAGAGGTCATGTATAACCCCCCCACCCCCCAGGAATTTCCTATTTTCCTTTTCATGATCTTATTTTGCCATATTTAGAGATAATCGACCGTGTACCGCTTAAAATTAACTGTTCTCATCTTAAGACACATTTTTTTATAATCTTTGACCTATTTGTAATCTTTTACAAGGCAATATTTATTTCTTACGCAGGTAGAGCACGCTTGATAGACTATGAGCAGTCTCTCTTTTTTATTAGCCCTTCCAGCGAAACGTGCAAGGCATGAGAACAGAGATTAATAAGTTTGTGTCATCTCAAGAAAACATTTAGAACATAACTTTAAATTTCAATAAATATCATTCATTGAAATAAACCTATGTGAACATTTCCGAAATTCAAAACCAATCTACCTACAGACAAAGTCAGAAACAAAGTTGATGTCTGGTACTGTAATTAAGTTTCACTATGTACAACTCTTGTCTAAGACAGTTTCATCTCAAATGCAACATTTACAGCATCACTTCAAAGTTAACTATTGATTTAACACTAAACTATGTGAAGATATTCGAATTTCAAAACAGATCTACTAGAAAACTAACTTATCATAAAGTTTATCGTTGAATGTTCGGCCTCGGGTCCTAAAGTCACCACAAAGTCGATCTTTGTAATTAAGTTTAACTTTGAATGAATTACACTTGCAGTTAAAGAAATTTCAGGAATTACAAAAAAACCTATTTGGGTTATAAAAGAACAAAATAGGCAAACATTCATTTTGCATCCCATATTTGCATCGCTTCATGTTCAGAAATGAACATCGGTGAAACATGATCTATTTCGTTGCCTAGCACATGATCGAAAGTCTCCTCCACAAAAAAGGAACAGATAGTAATTATTTTCGGGCAAAAGTTGATTTAGTGAGAAGTCTGTCAGACAAACAGCTTGCCTTCAATGGTACTCTATTAGAAGTCAATAATAAAATACAGCAAAGGTCTCATTTGGGTCGTCACGCAACGCTCTGTCGCAACGAGCTGACTGAATGTCAACAGAAATTTGCATAAAGTTGTTTAGACAAAGCTCGAGAAATATATCGCCGAGTTAGACGACTTTGCTCTCGATTAGGCTAAGTTTTTGTCAGACTATCTGCAGTCGAGTCCACAACCTAGATACATGTTCAACATAAAGAAATTATTATTAATTGATGCGTTAAAATTCATTCCCGGAGAAGTAAGGGACCTGTTGAGAATTGCACCGAGAATTGCGATCGATTTGCCCGAAGGACGATATTTATTTAAAGACTTTGTCAAAGTCAAATGTTGGACGAACCGACCGTCAGCTGTTTAGAATCAACCGTTAAATCCGTTAGAGCGTTAGAACAAGTCGTTAGAGCGTGTGGACAATCGTTACAGCGGAGATGATAGCGAACTCCCAGCAAAGAAAACGATGTTTGAGACAAACATCTTGAAGTTTTTTTTCCCGAAAGGACATCTAATTCTAATTTTTGTTGTGCTACAAATCAAAATAATCCACATACACTTAAGTATGTCTTGTATGATCGATCGCGTCTTTTACAACCCTGTGGAAAATTATTCTCCAGGGCACCCCCTGTACTCCTCGGAAATTTCTACCCATAAGCCCCCCCCCCCCACCCCTAGGAATTTCCATTGACCATCCGTGGGGGGGGGCGGGGGTATGGATATTTTCTGGAGTCACACAATTGCCTTGGTGAAAGCCCAACTCCACGAACTGGAGTATTTCATAACTCCAGAATTGCTATTGAATTCCACAATGCTAAATTCAGGGCCGTTATCTGAATGGAGAACTTCCAGTATTCCATGTCTTGCCAACATGATGTTTTAGAAGTTGATGACAGAGACACTAGTGCTGATGAAAAAAAAAAGATGAAAAGGTTTGAGGGACGTTTTTAACACGTTTCAGTGGTACAGTGAAGGTGATGAGAATAACGTGGATAAAATCACGAAAAGTTCAAGAGGTATTGTTATCGTAGGAAGATCTTTTGAAAGACAAAAAAAACATTTTTTTACGGAATTTATTTGCTGGGGGAGTCAATTGATTCGTACATGACTGACTTATGCAACAAGGCAGCACGATGTGATCTTGGCCAATAATAAGTGATAGCTTTCTGAAATGTGTAAATAAAACTTTTGTTAAAGGAGAGATGTCATGTTCCCAAAAGCAAGCAATAATTACTAACTGAAAGAAAGGTATAAAGATCGCTCCTTATTGGAAAAGTGGCGCCCAATTTCTCTCGTGAACGTTGACTCGAAAATTATGTCCAAAGGAACTGTGATGAGAATGAAAAAGTCGTTCCACATATTATTCAACATAACCAAAGTGGTTATATGGAAGATCGTATTATTATATTATATTGGTGAAGCAGTGAGACCAATATTCAACGTTATGGATTTTACTTGATTTTCAGACAGTTTTCGACAGCCTTGAATGGGATTTTCTTGTCACCTGCTTAGAGGCTTTCAACTTTGGTTGAGATTTTATTCATCGGGTTAAAGTGTTTTATAACATTATCTAAAGCTGTGTAATCAACAATGATCTTTCGTCTGATAATTTTCGTCTGGAGAGAAGTGTAAGACAGGGTGACCTGCTCTCCCCATGTCTGTTAGTTCCCACTGCAGAGGTATTGGCAGTTTCAATAAGACAAAACTCACATATAAGAGGAATTTCCATTGGCAACAAAGAAACTTAACTACTACAATACGCAGACAATACCACAGCTGTATTAGCTGATGAGTACTCTGCCTCAGCATTCCTTAGTCTGTTGGAGTATTTGTGGGATATTTCTGGTCTAAAAATCAACTGCACTAAGACAGAAGCAATGTGGATTGGATCATCAAGAAAAAAACGAATCAAAAACCTTTGGGCTTAAGTTGCTTAGTGAACCCATCAAAGCCTTAGGTGTGTTTATACTTACAATCAATGGTAGCTTAGAGAGAAAAACGTCACAGAGAGACTAGACAGTATTAATAAACTGATCATGATTTGGTCCTCTAGAAGACTTTTTATTTACTGAAAAGTAACTGTCATAAAATCCGTATTAATAACCAACTTTGCCTATATCTCTTCTTGGTTGCCTACCCCTAAAGAATTCGTGAAAGAATTAAACCAAATACTATTTCATTTCTTGTGGAAAGGACCTGATAAAGAGACTCTAGCCTCCGTAATAGTGAGTACGATAAAGGTGGACTAAAGATGGCTGATGTCAACAGCATGGCAATGTCACTCAGGCTCACGTGGTTCTATTTTGCCATCAGCCAAGGTCGTGGAGTACTTTTTTCTTGTTTTGTCCAGATCTAAGACAAAAATTCATAGCCGTACTTCTTAGTTCTCTTGGCTATTCTTCTTGACAAAACCTACATACAGCTAAGTGTGAATTATCGTCCTTCGTTACAGTTTTTTCCGTTTCACGTTTTTCCTGCTCTCTTTTCAGCATGAATGAAAGCTGGGCTGCCACTTAAGGCCAAAGCACCAAACAGACAGAGCAGGCAACTCCTGCTGTTCATGATGAGGATGACCCCTGGTCAAAACACCTCACCAACCATGCTTTCAATACTTAGTGCTTTTCAGACAAGTGTGACCTACTCAAATTCATTACTTCACGAGCTGGTTCAGCAAAAGTGTAAGTCTACGTCCAGCCAGACCACCAACTCGCCCGCTAAAAGAAAGAATCATGACTCAGATGAGTCAGGTCGCGCCATTGCGATCACCTCAGAGAAAGCAAAAACAATTACTTCAAAGGAAGTACAAGATAGCACTTCAGATGAAGCACACCCCAAGCTCCAAGATGATGATGCACTCAGTTTATGTGGCAACTACAGTCTTGTCAACGAGCCACTAGAACCAGAGGATGAGTTAAATAATGATGGGTTGCTCACTCAAATCACCACTTTCCTGAGTTCGTCTGATGAAAGTGGCCCTCCAGTATCCGACAAATTGTCAAACCTTGTTAATGATAAGTTTCAAACTGAATACAGTGTTGACAAACGAAAAGAAATACCTCAAAAGTATAAGACACCTAGTAATTGTACACAGCTCTTTAAACCCAAAGTAAACCCAGAAATTTGGGGGAATCTTAGCAGATATCAGAATGTCTGTGTTACAGGACACGTTAATCAAAGTGTCCAGTGCCATTGTGGTAGCCGTTGAGGCCCTGCTGAGTCATCCAAAACCCAAAACCCAAAACTCTACAAGAATTAAAGACAACAAATAGATTGATTAAAGTTACACCTAGTAATAGCAAAGGAAGTGTTTCACAAAAGAACCACGACAGTGGCCAGTTCAGAGGAAGCCAGTCTCAAGGTCACCATAGTAGTAAGCCCTTTTTAGGGATCAAGGGGGGGAATCCTTAACCCCCGACAAAAAATCAACAACCGTGTCGTTTCCATGCCAAGAAGAATTTCACAAAGTACTAAATGTCATCAAAACGAAGGTAAAAGAGTTCCCACAGCACATAGATTGCTCTCTTACTCCCTATTTGCCTGCTAAGGTCAACAGTTTCAAAGGGGGCAGTTGTCCCTGCATATACACCCGGAGTAGTCAATCGATAAAAATCAGTATCGATAAAAATAGGTAGCAATCAAGTGATTTTTATCGATTGATAACTGAAATTGGTGAAAATTGATAAACTGAATTGCTGTGTCAAATCAATATTATCAATTTTTATGGTTTTGACGATTTATAACGGAAGTCTGCCATCGAGGTTTAGATAGTGCAGCTAAGGAAACACATCCACGAGAACAACTGATCCGCAAACATGAAAATGAGACACAACTTTCTCTCTAAAACCCTTTATTTTGGACATAATAACAAAAACAGTTTGGTTCAATTACATTCAGTTCTTGAAGGCAAGTATCACGAGATGTACATCCTCAGATAAAGATTTCCAAGCCTAAATTTCAGGTATTCCTTCAAGTCGGGATTCAGGCAAAAAGATTTTCCTGATAGATTTTCACTGTTTTCTGATATCAATCAATAAAAATCACTTGATTGCTAACAATTTTTAACGATTTCTCTTTTAATCTACGGACTACTCCGGGTCCTCCGAGATGTAACTGCACCCAGATCTACACCCACATTATTTTGTAAGAGTAGTAGATCTAAATCCTGAAAAAATAGGCACCTACAGACCTGGCCAATATCAGCCATCAGAAGAAAGTTTTAAACCTGGTTGTAAAGAAAAGATAAGATTTTTTAAAAATTTCTTTATACGCAATAATGTTTGATAAACGATATAGTGATAAATGTTTGACCCTTTGCATGACCTTCAATTGCCACTCAATCGTCAATAAATTTACTTTTTGCATGAATTCAGTTTTAATTTTTTGATGAGCTGATGAACAGATGTTTCTTCCGATGTGAATCAATGAAATTGGTAAAAGTCAAGACAAATCGATAAATGAAAAAACAGTGTCATCAATTTCTACCAATTGATCGATACAATCAATATCAATCAAATCAGATTTACTGTTTTTTATCAATTTATCAATTGACAAAACGATACTGATTTTTATCAATTGACTACTCCAGGATATACACGAATGAGCCACTGTAACAACCAATGCTACTATTCTCCAGATTATTTCAGGTAAATTGAGTTCGTCTCCCAACCGTTTGACCAGGTGGCATACCCACAAAACTCCATATCAGGAGACCACATGAGTCTAGTTGTTGAGGAAATATTTTCCCTCCAAGATAAAGGATTATTGTTCCCTGTACCCATGAACCTGGTGAATTCATTTCACCCATTTTTGCCTGTATGGCACTGTGAGACTTATCCTTAACTTAAAGAAATTGAATTCATTTATAAAGAATTCCCATTTCAAACTGGACAAGATACATACCGTCTTGGGTCTGGTAACTCCAAACTGTTGGTGTCATCCTTGGACTTGAAGGATGCTTATTATAGTGTCCGTATACATCCTTACTTTCAGAAGTACCTAAAGTTTATTTACAATGGATGATTCTTTAAATACACAGTTTCTCCCAATGGTCTTTCCATTTGTCCTCGAAAATTCACTTTAATGTTGAAGCCACCCCTTTCACACCTGAGACTGATGAACTACATTGTTTGTGGATACATTGATGATTTATGCCTTCAAGGAAGTACATATCAGAGATGTGCGATCAATGTCCTTGATTCCATTTTCGAATGGACAATCTTGGTTTGGTAATCCACCCTGAAGAATCGGTGTTTATTCCACTGGAGAAAATGATTTTTCTGGGGATTCATTATTGATTCTGTAAGAATGATTGTCCTGCTCACTGAAGATAAGATACACAAGTTAAAAGACTTGCTAATCTTTTCTATGGACAATGCCCATTCCCTTAAAATTCGGGACATTGCTCAACTTATTGGCCACTTAGAGTGAGTCTACCAGCTGTCAAATATGGCACACTAGAACAAAGGTACTGGGAAATGGATAGAATTAACGCTCCCAAATGTTCCAAGGGAAATTGTGATGCACACATGGCTATCTCAGAGAAAGGTGTCTCTGAAATGCAATGGTGGTTATGCAACTTAGATGGGAGCTTCAATCCCATTCGCCATCCCCAAGTTGATGTAACACTGTATTCTTATTCCTCCCTTGCAGGATGGGGGGTGGTAATGAATGGTATCTCGACAGGGGGGAGATGGTCAGTCACGGAGGTTAACAGTCCTATCAACTGTCTTGAACTTTTGGCAGTCTGATTTGCTCTTAGGTGTTTTCATGTCCCGCTTTCTGGAAAACATGCTAAGCTAATGATTGACAATACTACTGCGGTTGCTGCCATAAATAACATGGCAACATGCCATAGTCCTGAATGTCATTCACTTGCAGTACAAATTTGGGAGTTTAGCATTTCGCATTACATAACCTGGCTTACTGCTGCCCACATCCATGGCTCTCTTAATGTTAGAGCTGACAGAGAATCTACATTGTGGGCACTTCCATTCTCAGGATACCGAATGAATGATAAATCCCACACTATTGAGAAACGCCCTTGCTACTCTTGACGTCAAACCAGAAATCGATCTGTTTGCATCAAGATTAAATAGACAATTTCCTATATATTGCTCATTCCGGCCTGGCCCAGAGGCCTCGTGTATTGATGCATTCACCATTTCATGGACTGAGAAAAATTCTATTCTTTTCCACTTTTTAGTTGTGTTCTCAGAGTGCTTCAGAAAATCATTCAGGACAGGCACAGCAAATAAGCATATTATGGTAATAAGATATTACAAGGTCTATAGCTTTATCTGACCTTTTCTATTCCGCTGATTTTAAACGAAAGTCAAAAGCACTCTCTGTTCATCTTTAGTTGGTATTTATTTTTTCTCCAATCTGTCTTTTCTTTCACTCAGTCATCCATCCATCCATTCATCCATGCACATATTCATTTATCCATCCATCCATCCCTCCTTCTTTCACCTCTCTTAATTTCTTTGTAGGCGAAGAAACAATGGCAATGAAGATCCACATGCTTTGGCAAATACCCAAGTGCGTGGGAAATTTTGACCACTTTGCGTTTATCCTGCTTTCCATACGAGTCAACTGTTGGGTTCATAAAAAGCACTGTACATGGACTTTAATAAATTTCCGAGCAGGTCTGTACACTGATATTCTACTTGAAGGTTGGGGAGAGATTGGGGATACAATAGTTTACCGAACGACTTCAATGACCACACCAAACGTACAAAACCTGCTGTAATAATAGTTGTGTTAATAGTTTCTCTGTAAATACACCAGGCTATTATTCTTCCAAATTTGAGCAGATCATTAATTGTCAGACTGTATTTAAGACATTTTGAAAGATTTTGATTATACCCTTTGTAAAAGGAACAAGGAAGAGCAGCCTTCCAGGAAGGCTAGCTCAACAAGAGTTGGAGTTTGAAGCAAAGAGAAACGCCAGGAAAAGCATTGGGAAAATTCTCGAGCTCTGCAGAGTTTGAAAACATAAAGGATGACCATTTATTCAAGGAAGTCGACTATATTACTGAAAGAAGGCCATCTTGATCTTAGGAGCAAGATGAACTATGGTTTCCTCCTGTATTTAGTGGGAAAGGTCAGGCCTAATAAACTAAAAGTAACTCACCCAACTTCAAAATTTAACTGATAATGGGGTTGTCACAGCTAAGGAATTCTATATTCCTATACCTGCAAGAGCTAACGACCTAAAATATTTAAAAAATTTATACGCCACCTGTAAAATCTTTGACAGTACAATTGAAAAGCATGATTGCGTGTGTTAAACAGAAACCTTAAATATGGCCTAAAGGTTAGTCGTCACCTGCAATGCCACATCCAATCATCCCACAATTAAAAACCTCCAGATTAACAATCAGACATTATACAACATGAAACTGAAGTGAAACGATTTTATTTTTTAAAAAATTTCTTTAAGATCTCTTTCGTAGGTACTACAAAAGGTCGGCAAGGAGGAGACATTTTCCAGTCTTCAAGGATTGGATCGGGAAAGTGCTTCAGGACATCACTCTAGTACTTCGTTATTATATACAAATACTGTATACATTTTTTTTGCTATCGACAGGTGAGAGCTTTCTTTCAAGCAAACGGCACACCTAGGGGTTGTTTATGTGGTCTGAGTGTCATGTTCAGTGTGGAAAAGGAAGTTTAGTTCATTGATGCCCCTAAGGCAATGACTGGCACTATACATTCTTGAGTATGTCAAGGAAATGGCTGCACAGGCAAGAAATGTAACCATTCAGACAATACACAGCTACACGGTGTCCACGTCAGACATTGCCGCCTCCTGGACAATGTGATCTAGGCCCTTGACAAGGCTTTTCAGGACAGCCAAGGTAATAAGACCTTTTTTGCAGAGAACTGGATGGATATATGACATCAACATAAATTTGAGATAGGATCACAAACAAACCGCGCCTCTTTAATAAGTTCATTAAAGGATACCCCTTAAGAAAATGTATGGAGAGAGGGCTGACCAGTTGAAAAATGAGGGAAAAAACAAAGCGATCCCTTGAATCATTTCAAGTTTTCTGATAGGCTGATACCCATATTTGCCCTAATATGATTTACACTTGTCCCAACTCATTACCTATAATAGATAGAATGGCCAGTCCGTAACCATTAAAAAATTCTGATGTAGCTTTGTTATGAAGACTTTGCAGCTCGAGTCAAAGATACGAACCGTTCGCTGCTGCAGCAAGGGAAGCTTGAGGTTGATCAAAATATATAACAATGAACCTACGCAATGTTTGAAAAATGTCTTAAATGAAGCTTGTAACATGATAATTTCATGGGGAACTGTGTTTCAAAAACATTTGGGAAAATGTCCTCATTGAAGATAAAAAACAAATCAGATAAGGTCATGGTGAGGAAGAAAAATACTTACGACATTAAACAATCAGTAATAATTAAGTAACAACAAATCAAAAATGTATGTTCATTAATGGGATTCTTTAAATGCGATAAAGAAATGACTTAACCTTGTGTCCAATTGTTTAGACCAAAATGAACCCAAATCAAAGTATTAAGGCAAAAATTTTGAAGGAGTTTAAAAAACTTGCAGTCGCATATTATCAGGTTCAAAAACTCTCCACTTCGCCTCGAGTTTACAGCTCCTGCTATTTTTGAAATAAAAAGAACTTAATTCAACTTCATTATCACATAACCAATTCAGGCTGCACGACTTGAGGCTTTTATTCCCTCATAGAGATGGATTAGCTGATCCCTTTATATTAGAACAAACCTTAATATAATTACAAAGGTGTTTTGCACTTAGCGAGTCAAATGAGGCAGACAAAACAGGAACCGTTGCCGGGGCAGCGGGAGGTTAATATCCAATTGTTAAAATCCTCATAACTAGAACAAACGTGTAACACTCTGAACCAAGAGGAGAAAATCAGATCAGGCCATACTAAGCAATGAGAGTAATAACAATTACAATAACTGCCCCAGACTCATGAATTGTCAAAAGTCTGATTTGAAGGTCTTCAAGTATATTAACAAACCTTAATACAATGACATTGGTGTTTTGGCAGTCCCGCCTCTTCCCGAGCCATCAAATGAAGCAGACAACAGCAGGAGCTGTTGCGGTGGCCACGGGAGGTAAATATGAAAGTCTTTACAACTAGGACAAAACTTGTAACATTCTGAACTTGTGCAATATGGAAAACGGATGTATTATGAAGCTACATAAAAAATGTACTTCTTCGACTGATGCAATAACTTAGGATCACCAAGTCAGATCAGGTCATACTAAGCAATAAAAGTGATATAAGTTGTACTAAGTGTCCTAGACTCAGGAATTCAACATTCAAAAGTCTGATTCCAAGGCCTAATAATATATTACAACAAATCTTGTAACAAGACTGTTGCCTTTGCAGTCCCGCCTATTTCTGAGCTGTCAAATGAAGCAGACGAAGCAGAACCATTGCAGGGGCCGCTGGAGGTAAATATGAAAGTCTTTATAACAGGGATGAAACTTAACACTCTGAACATCTGTAATGTGGAAAACCGCCGCATTATAAAACTAAAAAGTGAATTGATTCAACTGATGCAATAAATTAGGATCAACAGTAACAATAATATTTGTACAAGAAAGCACAAAATGAAACAGAAGTAGTAAAAGCAATGGGCATGAAAACTGCTGAGGAACAAGATTTGGCCATTGAGAGGCTTTGCATTTAGGAGATTACCACCACAATTACATGTTGGCCCCACGAGTGGTAAGGATGCCAACAAAAGAAGAAGAGCAGGTTACAGCTAACTTTTTGCCTTGCATGATTTGAATGGGATTCTACCTCGCATTTGCATACATTCTGAGATCACGAGATAGCAAGTCACGTGACTTCGAGCTCAGTGCGAGTTTGATTTCGGGCAAGGTCGCTTGGAGCACTAGTCGCTCCCACAAAATTTTCAGAAATTTCATCCATTTCTCGTTCAGAGCCTCAAGCCGAAGATATTAGCGATGTCAAAACAATCTGAGGACGATCTCCTCGCCGACGAAATTGAGGACGAGGGCGAAGAAGACCAGATAAACAAGGATTCGCTACCCGACGAACGCAACGCGGTGCCTGCACACGCTTCACGACAACTCAAGGACAAAACAGCCGCTTCCTCGGAAGAAATTAGCCAACTCACCCACGCAATTCTAGGCCTGACGAAAAGCCTGCCAGAACTCATCAATTCGCCGCGGGGAGAGACAAAAGACAAAGGAAAACGGCCGGCGAGCAAATCTCCAAACGCTGTTCCCGCCAAAAAAGCAAAAAACAAAGATGGCGAGGCGAGAAGCTCCACGAGCGCCTCCGACCAGTCAACTGACTGCGAGAAACTCTATGACTCTGTGTTAAACAACAACAGTGATGAGTCAGAGCAAAACACCACTCGTAGTGGTGATGAGGATGATTTCCTCTCGGAACTCGTAAAAGAATACGAGTCTGACGATATCGTGGGCGAAAGTCTCGAAAATGAGAAACTAGCCAAGCTAGTTGACAAAATGTTCCGCTGCAAACTAAGCGAGAAAAATCTCAAAGACCGGCTTGAGAGGCAGGAGAGACCGGCTAATTGTACTACAGCCAAGCCTCCCAAGGTAAACCCGGGCATTTGGCGTCGACTGAGAGAGCCAACTAAGAAGAGGGATTTACAATTTTTCAAAATACAACAAGCCCTCACAAAAGGCATCCTGCCAGTTGTCCGAATCACGGACAAGCTTATGCAGGCAAAATCGCTTAATGCTGATGAATGCCAAGACCTAAAGAAACAGGGGCTGGAGGCCATGTCCCTCCTCACTCATGCCTCTTATGAAATAAACATGCAGCGCCGTCTTCTACTGAGACCAGATATTGGGAGGGAATACTCAGCTCTCTGCTCCTCCCAGTTGCCATTTACAGATTTTCTCTTTGGAGATGATCTACAAAAGCATTTGAAAGATATTGGCGATCAAAACAAAATTGGGGCCAAGATCACCCCTAATTATAAAGGGCATCGCCCTTCTCCAGGAAGACCTGGCAATAACAGCTATAATGGCTATAAGCAGTCAAAAAACTGGAGAGGCAACAACTTCAAACCTTGGAAATCCAAGAACAATGCCAACCGGGACAAGACAACCCGGACAAGCCAATAGAACACTTGCTGCCAGCTACTAGCACAGTAAGTATATGTTCGCCTCTTTGTACCAATGTATATATTGCTGGAAACATAGCTAAGCATTTCAGTGCTTGGCAGACGCTCACGTCTGACCCCTACATTTTACGCATCGTTAAGGGTTACCAACTAGAGTTTTGCAACCCTCCTTGCCAGGCGCTCACCCCTAGAGCTGTCAAACTTTCTTGTAAAGAGACAGATATTGCTACTACTGAAATTAACAAGCTTTTAACTAAAGGGGTCATTAGGAAAGCTACTCATGTTCCTGGTGAATTTATCTCAACAATTTTCACCAGGCCCAAAAAAGATGGGTCTCACCGTCTTATTTTGAACTTGAAAAAGCTAAATGAGCATATTGAGTACCATCACTTCAAGATGGATTCACTGCCTAA